TCATTAACATAGAGAAGAAACAGTAGAGGTCCTAGAACAGAGCCCTGTGGCACCCCGAGTTTTACCGTCTTTGACTCAGATGTAACTCCATTGCAGATTACAACCATTTCTCTGTTTGTCATATAGGATTGTATCCAATTTATTATATTTCGTGGAAACCCGAACAATGACAGTTTTTTTATGAGAAATTCCGCGCATACTGTATCAAACGCTTTTGATAGATCGAAAAATAGTGAGATCACATAATTTTTTTTATCAATCTCTGTGTAAATATAATTCAGAAGATGATAGGAAGCTGTTTCTATAGATTTATTTTTCCTGAAACCATGCTGAGACATACATAACTGATCCCGTTTCTCTAAACTTTTCAACTGATTCGCGGACATACACGTGACTTACATTTTTGTCCGGATGCCTTTCATATATATTTGCTTACTATCCTAGAAACGGTTTTCAATCATTTTTCGATATCAGCTTTCATTCGTGAGATATAGCCCATTGTAAGTTTTAAAATTGACACACTGTACAATATTTTCAAAATGTCCCCATACATAATAGTATATAAGATACAGATCAGGGGAACGTGTTGCAATCCAACTTAAATTGTAAAACTGAAAATAAAACTCACAATATCTCTGTGATCGATGGTTGCGTTATGTTCCAACAACTGCAACACTATATCTATATGTCCTTCTTTGGAAGCACACAACAGGGCTGTCCAACAATCGTTATCCTCTGCATTTGGATCGGCACCGTGAATCAGCAGTTCGCGAACCATGGCAGATCTACCCTTTGATGCTGCCACCATAAGTGCGGTGGTCCCATTCTGAAAACGTAAAATTATAGATAAATAGATAGATAAGTTTATTTCATCACATTTACTACAAAAGGTTCAGTACTGACAAGTCAAACTGACAAATAAAAAAACAATAGTTGCAGTTTATATACACTAATTACATCTAAAATAGTTATTTCAAAAATCTTAAAACAAGAACTAACATAATATTAAAAGATTATTGTCTCACAAGTCAAATATTATTCGATGGAGTAGAAACAGTGCCTCAAAAGTCTAACTCTAGCCTTGTAACGGTTATAACTCAAATCAGTAATGTATGTTGGTATTTTATTGTATAAATGATAAATGTAAGTTGAGTGAATTACGAACTGATAGATCCAGCCGATAATTCAGTTGTATTTCACGAATCATCTGTTATCTGGAGTATGAGATGCCCGTATTTTCACAAGAAACATATTTTCCTATTCGTTTATTAAATCACTCGACATTTTTGCTAGTTCTTCCCATCTAACCGGCTAACCTAATAATTGCTGCTACTTGAAAATGGAGCAAATTTAGTTGATACTTCCATATCCTATAATCGTAATATTTTGTTAAAATTCCCTTTAGAATTTCATATGTTTCACTATTTGTTTCCCTAATGACTTTGTTGGTATGTATGGGCAGCTCTGATAGGGAGATAAGCTCCCCTACCTCGCCTTTGAATTTGTTGGTGTGCCTTGACAGCTCTGATAGGGAGATACGCTCCCGTAACTCCAGCCGTTTCGGGTTCCCTCTGACCCGGAGGGTAGTAACCTAGAGGGTCTTTCGTCCAGGGATACGAACAGAAAATGTGAGAAATCACCTGACCATGGTGTGCTACGGTCGTTAATTGTTGCTACTTGAAAATTAAGCAAATTAAATTAATACTTCCGTATCCTACATTCGTAATATTTTGTTAAAATTACCTTTAGCATTAGATACGTTTCATTCTTTGCTTCCCTAATGACTTTGTTGGTATGTATGGGCAGCTCTGATAGGGAGATAAGCTCCCCTACCTCCCGCTGCTTCGGGTTGCCTCTGACCCGGAGGGTAGCAACCTGTAAGGGTCCATTGTCCAGGGATACGAACAGAAAATGTGAGGAATCACCTGACCATAGTGTGGTTGCTACTTGAAAATGAAGCAGATTAAGTTGATACTTACATATAATACATTCGTGAGCATTAAATATGTTTCATTATTTCCCTAATGTATTTTTTTGGTGTACATGAAGAGCTCTGATAGGGAGATAAGCTCCCTTACCACCCGCTGATTTGGGTTCCCTCTGACCCGGAGGGTGGCAACCTGTACGGGTCCCTTGTCCAGGGATACGAACAGAAAATGTGAGGAATCACCTGACCATGGTGTGCTACGGTCATTAATTGTTGCTACTTGAAAATGAAGCAAATCAAGTTGCTACTTCCATATCCTACAATCGCAATATTTTGTTAAAATTACCTTTAGCATTAGATATGTTTCATTATTTGCTTTCCTAATGAATTTGTTGGTGTGCATTGGCAGCTCTGATAGGGAGATAATCTCCCCTACCTCGCCTTTGAATTTGTTGGTGTGCCTTGACAGCTCTGATAGGGAGATAAGCTCCCCTACCTCGCCTTTGAATTTGTTGGTGTGCCTTGACAGCTCTGATAGGGAGATACGCTCCCGTAACTCCAGCCGTTTCGGGTTCCCTCTGACCCGGAGGGTAGTAACCTAGAGGGTCTTTCGTCCAGGGATACGAACAGAAAATGTGAGAAATCACCTGACCATGGTGTGCTACGGTCGTTAATTGTTGCTACTTGAAAATTAAGCAAATTAAATTAATACTTCCGTATCCTACATTCGTAATATTTTGTTAAAATTACCTTTAGCATTAGATACGTTTCATTCTTTGCTTCCCTAATGACTTTGTTGGTATGTATGGGCAGCTCTGATAGGGAGATAAGCTCTCCAACCTCCCGCTGCTTCGGGTTGCCTCTGACCCGGAGGGTAGCAACCTGTAAGGGTCCCTTGTCCAGGGATACGAACAGACTATGGTGTGGCACGGTCGTTAACAGCTTCTGAAAGTGACACTAGCTCCATGACGAGGCAAGATATCATCGTAGCACAAAAGGAGGATCTGTTCTTGAAAACTGTACGAGAATCGATTGACAAAGGAGTGAGACCGGAATGGCAAGATATTTCCAAGCACAGCCAGCAGGAAAAGGGTTACTGGCTGAAATGGGACTCCAAGTATGGTCGCACTGGAGGGCATTGTGGAGTAAATATAACTCTAGTGAAAGTGCGTGAGAGGTACTATTGGGTCAATTGCCGCCCAAACGTGGAGAAGTGGTGTAAACGTTGTGACCGGTGAGAAAAGTTGAAAAAATATACTTACCTCATCTTTATCATCAACTTGTACTTGTTTATTTTCAAGAAATGATTGCAGTCCTTGTAAGTTGTCATCGTTAATAAAACCTGTGAGCGATCTGTAGCACAATGATACCATGGAATCTGTACGATGCAGCGTCTAAAACAATAATAAAAGTAATGTAAATTTGACCAATAAAACGACACTTTATGCAGATTATGCAAGCGACTTCAATCATTATTATTTACAATAAATATCGCTGCGATCAACAAACAGTCTAATGACTTAACATCCAAGGACGTCGCATTGAAGGGGATATAACACAGAAAATGATCCCTGAGTTTGTGAACCGTTATACACCAGATTCGAATTTTCTTAAAAAAAACGTAGCGACGTCCCTGCATATGTAGAATAAATCGGGGGTGGAGGCTATCATAAAGTTAGTGAGTTCAGTAATACATAAATACGGTAAATTGCAGCCACAAGCGTTATTATTGGCTTTAGCTCTGGCTACTATACTCATTTTGTACTTGTACTTTTCCAGCATGTAACAATCGCCTTTTTTGACATTTTAGGTAAGGCAAAACTGCAATGTTGAGGAATCTGATACAGAAAAATCTTGAATCACATGTTTAAAGGTAATACCTCGTTAATCCTTAGCTCGCACAAGTTTCGACTTCTGAGGGCTGTCGTTCGTAGGGGTGTGACAGCTGATTAACGGAAAACAGATTTTAAACAGATTCACGGATGTAAATACGAGGACTTTTGTAAAACTGGATAATAGTTAATGGTTCATTTTCCTTCCTGGCACCGATTTTCCACGGCTTTCACCTACTTGGAAATATGCAAATAGATACAAAAGTTAATGACTATGATACACTTAATGAAAATATCGCTAATGGCGAATTTTCATGCGTTTCTCTGTTAAACCAATACAAAATAAACATCACGAGAATAAATAGTCACATTTAGTAGGACATTGTCATGAATAATCTGGTTTATTATCACTCTATCAATAATTGCCTCGTTTCGATTGAAGTTGACGATTTTTATTAGCTGCGAATAACAAAGATCTACAAAGCATGCTTTTATCGTAGGTGGGTTATCTTATCAAAAAAAACCACTACCATTTGGTGACAAGTTGCATATTAGCTGCGAATAACAAAGATCTACAAAGCATGCTTTTATCGTAGGTGGGTTATCTTATCAAAAAAATCACTACCATTTGGTGACAAGTTGCATGAAAATGACTCAATCAATGTCAACTCCAAAAATTGAAATTTGGGATAATAAAATAATGCATGAAGTGAAATTGATAGATGAAACTTTCAAGATGGCGACTGAGCGCCAAATAGAAAGAGGGAGACACATAGTTTTGAAGCTCCTGACAAATGCTTCACAACCCTAGAATATAATGTCAATATCTTCAACTACTACAAAATGGCGAAACTTTCAATAATTACCTGAATACATTGACATTTAACTACATAATATGATGTAATAAGCTTGAGATCAGTTCAGAAGGTGCTCCAAATGGTTGCCTTGAACTTCTTGACATATGAACAGCCTATCCGATATTTCACGCCGAACATTTTCGAACAAAGTAACGTCAATATCCCTACAAATATTTATTATTGTCTGCCGTATATCAAACATTGAAGCAGGATCCGTTTCGTACAGCTTTTGCTTCAAACAGCCCCACAAAAAAAGTCCAAAGGTGTCAAATCTGCGGCCATTGTGTAAGAATCCTACAATATGGTTTCCCAATATTCCTGTATGGATGATACCTATTCCTTTTCAAAAGTGTTCACACAGTAGAAGGAGACACCTCACAAACATTCGCGACGGAATAAGTAGACTGTTCAGGATTTACTACCATCTCACCAATTATTTGCACTTGCTGATACCATAGATCTCGATATTATGAAAAGTAAGAAATACAAATATGGAAGACTATACAGCAGTGCGAATTATAATAGGTTCTACCGAAACTGTCTTGAACTTGACTGGAAAAACTTATTATCCGAAAATGATCCTTTCCTTGTTTTCCATAACCAACTCACCAAAGTGTTCAATTTTTCATTTCCTGTTCAAAAGAGCAAAATAAAAAATAAAAGGCCTTGGATGACGCAAGGAATTAAAATTTCGTCAAGAAATCTTCGCTCTTTACACCATCTGCGGAAATTCATAATACTTTCATTTATATTTTAGTAATTATCGGACAATTTATAGGAATACCATTAGACTTGCTGAAGAAATTTACTTCAAAAATAGAATTGATAACTCACACAATAAAATGAAAGAAAGTTGGTCAATCATGAATGATTTGAGGAATAGTATCAAAAACAGCAGAGATATTGAAATACCAATCAGCGTGGACGATATAAATGAATTCTACTGTTCGATTGGACAGAAGCTCAGTCAGAATATTGTGGTACCATGATTAATTTAGAAAATGTTGCAATCAATGAATCTCTTCAATTGGATGATAGGAATATTGATGAACTGTTGGAAGTTTTTGGTGATATAAGGAATAAATCAACATCTGGTTATGATGAAATTTCAATCAAAATTATAGAAAATGATCTGGGGGTTTTTTGTTATGTACACTACCGGTAGTTGTGAATTTGGATACAAGTTCCCTAAAATATTTTCTACAGATAGGACGATTTGGAAAACGTGCATCGAAAATCTATTCGGTCTCGTGAAAGTTACGCGTCGCACCGTAAATAAAAATCGCTCCAAATTTTTTTTCCAATGGACGAGAATTGACCATATTAGAGATTGTTGACGTAAAGTAAAAGCGAAAACTAAATGAGAATATTGTAACTGAAAAATGATTTTCATTGTCGTGCTGACATTTTTTGTGGTTTTTATAAACAAAAAATAACTTAACACACCTTATCGGGTTGTTGGAATTGCTATATGCCAGATAAAAAGGAATATTTCTAGAAATATCGATATTAATGTGTTTGTCTTCAGGACATTATTAAATATTTCGCTATTTTGTAGAAAGTGAAGATATTGACTCCATATTCCAGGGTTGTGAAGTATTTATCAAAAACTTCAAAATTATGTGTTACAAGACCCCCTTTCCATTTAATTTTTTTCATAGTCGCCATCCTAAAAGTTTCATCTGTCAATTTTACTTCAAAATAAAGTATAAATAATTTCATTATCCCAAATTTCAATTTTTTTAGTTGAACCGTTCAAAAAATAAAAGGGGTGGGGCATTAAAGAAATGCACTGTATAACTTTTACAAAACGTAATATTCATCTTCAGAAACTTCAGATACAACAACTAAATTATCTGCTGTACAATCTTGAACGTTCTTAACAACTTCAAGTTCAACACATGAATATAAAGACGAAAAACCAGGTACAAATACATTATACTCGTATATTTCTGTCATCAAATGGTAACGATATGGCTTCCAGCAGATAATAATTAATTACAGAGTTAAACAAAACCTAATTTCCACATACAGACTAAAAATGTTTTATTGTCATACACACATTTCGAATTATTCTTCGGTGTTCCATGATGGTGAGTTTTTTACAAATCTATCATATTGAGATTACTGCTATTATAAAGTAAACTCCTAGAAAATGACCTTGTAGTAGTGGAGACCGGGGATAGTTGGTACAGATTTTGGTTTAGATTTTTCAATTTTTTTTTGTGCAATAATTGGACATACGTTTCAACTATGTGGCATACAAAATCATGTAGAACCCACTAATTAAAGTCAACTAGCCTCACAAAGTTATCAAAAACAAAATGATACTAAACAATACCAAATATCCGATACGAGTAGACCAGACCTATCTCAATATTTGATAAAAAAATCACGTTATAAGTCAGTAAGTGATGAAACAAGTGTTCTTTCTCTAAGTGGATTGAAGTAACACTCACTACTAGCAAGATGACAGCGCTCTGAATCCACGAGTGGCAGGAAGTAGAAGCACTATGCTAACAAGCCCATCTAACCCCGCTCTCCCCTATACGTTGGACCATTTATTTGTTGCTTAGATGTGCAATTACAATATTCACAAAGATACCCTTTCAAACAGCATTTTGCTGCCTCACCTTATATTAGCAGGAGTTTGACCTAGCTCAAAACAATAGTCAGAGTTTCCTGATTCTATTCATCAGTTTCATATTCCAGAAGATGTTTATATGAAAAATCATTCGATCCTTACTGGAAACACAATATATTCCAGAAACCTGATGTGGCACCCAACGTGGGGCACATGACACAAAACATTTGCCACAAGTTCAGATCGTTCTAAAATCATAAAATCATTTTTACCGCCAATCAAAATGTCATCAAAGCGAAAAAAATTAAGTTGTATTTTGTGATATTGAATGAAACTGTTGAATTTGATGAAGTGTGTAAGCTTATTATTACACATAACAAGAATGTTTGATCACAGGGCATTTCATCGAAAGCGAAAGGTTACTGACATATAGCTTATCAAATCTAGGAAGACTTGATAATCCTCACAACTTTCGCCTTCCTTACAGAGTAGGATGAAAGCGGATAAAAACTAGCGCTCGCCAAGAAGTACAGTACTGCACTGCTATATTCTTGGTGTATACTAAGAGCTGATAGATTTGTTCTGGTTCTTAAATTGTTCTAGACTATCATCTCCAGGCGCGATGTTTCACGGGCAAAAGCAGCCTCAATCAGCAGCAGCTACAGTAAGCAGTAGCTTCAGCATCTCCCTCTTCAAATATCATCGTGACATAATAAGTTTTGAAAACACCAAAACCATTGCCACCGAAATAACCCCTCCAGGCCAGGATGATCCGTGAAGCTATTAAATTTGAAAACCATCATAATAAAGATTACCTCACATCACTGCACGTCTCGCTTTTGCAAGTTACAACCCATGTTATCACTACCAACTCCACCCTCGCTTCCACTACCGGTTTGCCCCTACACTCGTCTAAGAACATCAATACCAAACTAGAGCCTGTGGACCTACAAACATTATAAATGCTATACTCAGATTGCAGCACTTCCCGTACCCGTTTGAGGAGGCGACGGTTATACATATCCCAAAGCCAAAGAAGAACCACCTATTCCCAGATGACCACAGGCCAATCAGCTTCGGTTCAAATCAGAACACTCGACAGAGTTGCAAGTCCTGAGGGT